AAGGGAACTGGGATTGTCATGTAAATCAATCTTGTTTCTAATGCAAATAAAAAATGATTTAAAAAGTAGTAAGTGCGAATTATTTTTTTAAATGTGTATGTCTCTCTCTCTCTCTCTCTCTCTCTCTCTCTCTCTCTTTCTTGCTCTCTAGCTCTCTCACACTCTCTAGTTTTTGAGATAGTTCTCTCTATTTAGTCCTGACTTTCTTGACTGGACCTCACAGAGAGCCTCCTGCCTCTACCTCTGAGTGCTGGGATTAAAGGTGTGAACCACCATGCCCAGCCCCAGTAGGCTCTTTTAACTGCTGAACCATCTCTTAGCTCCCCCAGATTTTTTGGCTTATAGTGGACAGTTTAGGAAGATGACTCATGGAGGTGTGGGAAGTGGGTCCAGGGAACCAGAGGACACAGGTCACCAAAGGAAGGACTCTGGAGATAATCCAGTTCAAATCTCTTCCATTGTTTCTACCTGTTTATCAATTAATTAACCAGTCTATCCAACCAAATAGAGTCAGAGTCTCACCTTGTAGCCAAGATGGAGTCAAACTCATGATCCTCCTACCGCTTTACAGTGTGGTAACTATGCACCTGGTTATTTTACCATTTTTTAAAAATTTATTTACTTATTTTTATTACATATAGTGTTCTGTATATGTTTTACTATATGCCAGAAGAGGGCACCAGATCTCATGATAGATGGTTGTGAGCCACGCTGTGGTTGCTGGGAATTGAACTCAGGACCTCTGGAAGAGCAGTCAGTGCTCTTAACTTCTAAGCCATCTCTCCAGCCCCTATTTTCACCATTTTAAAGGAGAAAAATGCAATGGTGAGAACTGACTTGTCAGTAGTCATCTGATTACTTTGAGGAAGAGCTGGGACAATGTTTTTTTAAGTGATGCAAAAAGATGCTTATGCAACCAGGAGTGGTGGCACACACTTGTGATCCCTGCACTTGGAAAGCTGAAGTGGGAAGATCTTGAGTTCAAAACCAGCCTGAACAACATGGGAAGATACTGTCTGAACAACAACAACCACCTACAGAGCCACATTAACTCAATTAACGTGGCATTCATATCAAAATGGACTCACAGACAAACAGAATGAAACAGAGAAGGCGGAAAGAAACCGGCATGCCCATGAACATCTGTTGGAAAATGGAACTGTCTCCTTAACAAGCAGCGCTGGCAAGGCTGGGTGCCCATGTGTAGAAGACTGGAAGTAGAACCCTACTTCTCACTTTACAAAAACCCAGCTCAAAATAGAACACAGATCTTAATGAAAGCCCAGAAGCTTTGACTGAGAGTGAACACAGGAGAAGCAGGCAGGGTGGCACCAATTGCCATTTCAGCATTTGAGTTGAAGGTAGGAGGATCAGGAGTTCAAGGCCAGCTTCTACTGTGCAGCAAGTCTGGGGCCAGCATGGGCTACATGGGGTCCAGTCTCCCAAAAGTGACAGTAACTACTTTCCTATAGAGAAAGCAGGGTCTTTAGACCACAAAAGCATTGTTGTAAGGAGCGTGATGAGGAGAGAGGATCACTCCCCTAAGCTTGTTTCTCAAAGGTGAAAAATAACCAGCTGTTGGGAATTTTATAAAAGTTCAAAAATTGTTTTTAGAAAAACAATTATTATGTGTTATTTATTTATTTATTTATTATCTATTCTGACATTACAGAATGATAGTCCTAATTATTATGCAGTGGTTGTTCATTTGCTTTTTTTTTTTTTTAAGTTTAAGCCATTAGAGGGACATCGTATCAACACTATGATTCCTGCAATTTGTTATATAAGTTCCCAGCCAAAGCCTGGCGTCCCAGGCAGGATAAGTACTTCAGCACTGCGGACAGCGACCTTCTGTGAGCTCTGGGACTGTGTCAGAGACTGAGACTCCTGCACCCCCTAAGACAAGCGTTTCAAAGTAACCCGCAACGTGACCTGGGGGCTTACAAGTCAAAGCACAATCCCACCCACATCGCCCTTCTGCCGACCCCTGAGAAACCCTCATCAGAGGACTCTGATTGGCTGCAGAAGCCCCTAATCTAGCTATATCACCCTAGAGGACACTGCTTCAGAGGGATGCTGTCAGGCAAGCTATAGGCATACAGACTGGGAAGCCAGGGACTGGGAAGCCAGGGAGGAAGCAGGGCGGAGGAATGATCCCTGCAGCCTCTGAGCTTTCCCAGGTTTGTCTCTTCTTTCTGGCCTGCCTGCTATGTTCAACATCCTTTTGAACCAACCTCAGGGTCCAGGGTTTGGGATATGTGGCACTTACGTGGCACTTACATCTGCCACCCCCACCCAGGCTGAGGAGACCATCATCCACCTGCTGAGGAGACCTTTATTAGAAGAAAGCAAACATCTAACAAAGAAAGAAAGCAAACCCTTAATTGGAGGCCCCCAGGGCTGTTTGCAGAGGCAGATGGGAGGAGACCTAATGAAACCACCTCGCACAGTCCTTGGTACACACCTCACAGATAAAGCCTCATTGCCAGGCAACAGAGCTTTTCCATCCAGAGGCCTGATAAGGGGCTTGGTGGGACTGCGTATTTGGAAAATATGATTTTGTAAGCGGAGCCCAGAGTGTGTTGATTCTGCCCAATGCTGGAGCCTACTGCCAGATAAGCATCTGCCATGTTCCCTAGGGTATTGGCAGGGTTGTTTCTCCCAGGACCTCTGACAGAGCCTATCAGCATGAAGACACCCTGAGCCACAGTCAGAGAGAGGCCCAGTATCACCTAGCGTCAGATGCTAATGAAGGGGCTTCATTAGCCACCAAGGGCAGCCGGCAGGATGAGGGTGGAAGGTGTCAGGGCTGCAGAAACTGGCTACATCCATTGTGATACCACAGCCCCTGATGCCTTCTGCTGCCACACTCCTGGTGACTTCCTCTACCTCAGCCTGAAAGCCAAAATCCATACAGAGGCCCATAAGTTTCCACATGGCCCTTGAACAACACTGTCTCCCTTCTGCCACCAAGTGCTGGGCCCGCTCCCTCCTAGTCACATTGGCTTTATTTTTCTTCTCTACCTCACACCTTCTGGGTATATGGCTGCCCCTGGGCCTTTGCATGAGTTGCTCGTTCTCCCTAGAATGTTCTTCTATGTGTTATACACCTCTCTTTCTCAGTTCCTTCCAGTCCTTATTCAAGCTGCCACCATTAGCAAGCCTGCCCAGCTCACTGCCTGTTATTCCAAGGTTCCTCACCCTACACGGAACTCTCCTTTTTCCCACAGCCACCACAGCCTTCTAACTTACTATCTAATGTGTTTTGTTGTTATGGCTCATTGCTCATTGTCTGTCTCTTTGGTTTAACAAAGCTCCAAGAAGGCAGAGTTCTGATCTTCCTTCCACATTAGCTTAATCCAGGAATCAGGCATAGTGCACACAGCAGGTGTTCAATGAGTGTTTGATGAATAATGATGTCTCTTTGGCTCAGTTACAAATAACCCTAGTAGAACTAATGAAAAAGTCCATGCTCATAATGAGCCCCTTCCAGGCCACTGAGTCTCTGGGGGAGGGGTGGCAGCATCCCACACCCCATCCCACCATCACCTGAAATTTCAGGAAGGAGGCAGCCCTGTCCACATAGGAAGACCCAAGGACTTGGCTCTCATTCTACCCCACTGTGGATATGCAGTGTGACTTTAGCCATGGGACTATCCATTTCTGAGTCTCAATTTCCTCTTTGGGGGCTTGAGATTGGCTTTTGCTCTCTTTGTCTAAAAGCAACAGACAGCTACACTTGCACCCAAAATATCCAGGATTTGAGAATACTTAAGAAGAGGCAAGGCTGGTGGAGGCAAACTGGGGTGCTGGACTAGGCCCACTTCCATTTTAGCTCGACAGTGAAAGCTGCCTGCCACTGCTGTCTTGCTTGCCTCTTGAGAGCTGGGAACCCAGGACCCACCCATGTGCGGGCTGAACCTTCAATCCATACATTGCACATGAGTGAAGTCTGGCTGTGAGTGAAGGGGCTCTCAGCACCGTGACAGCAGTGACCACTAACCACTATCAAATAAGAAAAAAATACATACAGTGACAGAATGTGAGGCACAAAACTGGCTTGCTGGAAAAAGAGGCCTCACTCAGGCAGGGGTCAGGAGGCTTTAGTGGGACCCCCCTGAATATTACAGGGAGTTCTGAAAGTGAGCGTGCCTCCAGCCAATGAAATCAAAAGCACCTAAGTAGAGGAAAACTCAGCAGCCTGGAATGAATACGGGAGGAGTGCAAGGTTCAGTGACAGGAGTGACACACACCATGAATACACAGCAAACTGACAGGTGGAGGGAGGTTCATCTGGGTCCTCTTCTGAAGCCCGGTACTCTTTACTGCCACCAGACAGGAGCATGGTGGAGGAAGCTTGAGGTGAGGGGTGGATGTGGGGCGGGACCGAAGTTGGAGAAAGGGCGCAGGGGGCGGTCCTATGACGTAATTTCCTGGGTGTGTGCATGTGCTTGTGTGTGTGTGTGAGAGTGTGTGTGTGTATATATAAAAGAGGGCATAGCGTTGCCGC